CTTTCCAACCTTAGTGATTCTGTGATTTAAATCTGAGATGTGGCTGCTACTTCAAGAAACGCTACTAACAAGGAGATCTGGTTGTATTTTTTTGCTTGAGAAATTATTAGCAACTACTCCCCCCTTCTTCCAAATTTCTTCTTTTGTGTGATAGAGGTGTAAGTTTTGCATATAAAAATTATGCTTATGGAAATAAAAATAATAATTCTTTTTTTCTTTTTACTTTTTTGTGTATCCTTTTTCAACAGATTTTTGGAACAAAGAAAACTCAGATTGTGAAAATAGCTCTTTCCACCTCTCTTGCTGCTTTGTGCTAAAACTTAATGATCTGCAGTCAGTAAATGTTGGCCTATTTGACCAATACTTCCGAATTACTGGTTAGTACATCTTGTGCATTTTTCCAGTTCTATTTTGTCTTTTTAGTCTTGTCATAGGTGGATTCGTGTCTTGTATTTTATTAGAGAGATGGAAGAGTATATTATTTTGTTGCTTCTTTTTCTTAAAAGAAATTAAGTTAATGTAACACTGGTGGTGCTGAACCAGTAGGCTGATAATACTGTCTTGCAACATCTTCTAATTGAGGTAGCTGGGAAGCTTAATATCCCACAAGTGCTTTTAAAAATTCTCCTGTCTTAACGACATGTCAAAGGGAAATCTAAAGACTTTTGTTCTGAGGCTTTGGCTTGCAATAAAGAGTAAGATCAAGGTACTGCCCATGTTGCAAAATGTGTAGGTGATGGTTGACTTTTTGGATAGAAAATGAGGCCTTAAAGCTTACAAAAGGTAATGTTGTCAACTTTATCCATGTTATTTCCATTAATTTAAGTTTCTGGGCTGATGCTTTGCCTCGGAGTCCCACTACCTGTGGCCCATATATTCCTGTGTTCTAAAATGTCTTCTCATTGTGTTGGGACCTCAATGTGGGGGAATCTCACTTGTGGAAATTAAAGTGACCTGACATATAACAAGTTCACAAAGGAAACTGAGAGCAGTTTTTTCTGTAAGATAAATTGTAATGATAAGGTAAGGTTGAACCTGTAGAGTTGAAGTTCAACCTGTAAGGTTGAACCTGTCAAACAATTAAATCATAAGTGTACATCATATTTTAAAGCAAGAGAAATTATATTCTTCATTTTTTGAGGGATTTGTAAGGATTCTATTATTCTTTTCCAAGTATTTGAATGCTTTCTGAATAATGATGCACGTTTTCAGGAGAAATAATACTTGCGAGAAATCTTTTTTTGGTGATGGTTGCATGTTGGTTGAAGAAATTATGATACTGCCACATACAGATGTGTGAATAGTTTTATAATCTGTCTTCTGTTCAGGGCACTCTGCAGACCATATAGTCACCTGCCTGACAAGAGACAGTTACAACACTCACACCTTCATACAGCAGCTTATGGCAGTTCTATCATTGCTTGCACGCACACCTTCACCTGAACCAGTAGATAAAGACTTCTACTCTGAATTTGGGAGTAAAAACACAGGTAAGTGGTCTTTTCTACGTGTTGAGTTATTTAGACATCATACTTACGGCATCATCTAAAGTATGCTGATTAAAACTTTTTGAGGGAAACTTATGCATCAGTTGTTTCCTATTTGAAACTTTAACCAAACTCCCTGACTTCCATTATCTTACATGTGCCTTCTCTGAACAGAATTGTTAAATAGTCTTGCAAATGTGAAGTTAGTGATGGCTTCTTGAGTCCAGCAGAAAATGGCACTTCCTATACGGTATTTTGGGGTGTGTACTAGTGTAGCTTCCACTGCAAGTTTCAGCCTAACCTATAAAGTCTTGTAAGTCATCAAAGAACAGTGAAGGTAACAAAGTCTGAAGGTTATGTTTTTCCTTGTTTGGTCAAATAAAAGAATCCTGTCATTCTGTGAGAATGTAGTGAAGTGAAAACTAGCCTTTTTTTAAGGTGTTGGGTTCAATTCCAATATTGGATGAAACTTTTTTTTGCTTAGAATTCTGAAGCCAGTTGAAGGCACAAAATAAAATGGCATTTTCCTGAAGAATGGCTGTTACTGTTTTTTGAGGAGAAACTGTGTAAGCCCAGAAAGTGCAAGGTTTGATGGGAAGTCATATCTTGTATTAGACAAATTGATTTATGTGTGGGAAAAAGCAGGCATGCTTCTTTCAAGCTTTGCTACATTGTTTTTCAGTACTTAACTAATAGGGAGTAAGGGATTGCCGTGTCACCTCCTGAATGTAGGATGGAGCAGAGGAATGTGCTCATTGAGTAGGGATATAAAAGCAATTCATGTAGAGCCATCTGTCTTTGTTTAAATTTCTGCCTTTTCTCTCTGCTTAAAAGAAGCAGGGGTTTTGTTTGTATTCAGTGATGTGATAATACTTTCAGTGAGTTTAGAACTGGGGAGTGGGAAGGAGGCGGGGGAGGTCAGCTAGTATGGAGTTGGATAACCTCTGATAGGAGGATCCAGCTGTATTTCCCTCTACCTCTTCTGCCATCACCCTGAACTAGTTATGTGGTTAGAAATTTGCAGAAAGTATGTTGGTAATGGAATAAAACTCCAGTAGAGATCTGCAATCCAAATGAAATTATTCCAGTATTCTAGATAGGTGAAAGCATATATGAATAGATACAAAACTTGAGTTCTTGCAGCTGCAGCTGTCAAAGGTTGTTGTTTCTCCTAATGCATTAAGAAAGTATTGTTTGGTACTAAATGGAAGTACAGTAACGTATGTTTCTTGCAGGGAGAATGGAGAATTATGAACTGATTCACTCTAGCAGAGTAAAGTTTATTTATCCAAATGAAGAGGAAATTGGGGACCTTGCTTTTCTAGTGGCGGAGAAAATGGATGATTTGACTAATCTTCAGTCCCTCAACATCCTTTTGTATGTGTTGGCATTTCAAGTAAATCATGTCGAAGGATCTGCCCAAAACACTAGCTCGCTTCAACCTAAAACACTTATATTAACTAGCTCTGATTTGTTCCTCTTTGATGAAGATTATATCAGTTACCCACTACCTGAATTTGCTAAGGAACCACCAAAGAGAGATAAGTATCAGCTTGCAGATGGAAGACGAATCCGGGATTTAGACAGAGTACTTATGGGTTACCAGACATATCCACAGGCCCTTACATTTGTGTTTGACGATGTTCAGAATCAGGATCTGATGCAGAATTTAACACTGGATCACTTTGGAGAAACTGATAGTGCCCCAAAGGGAAATGCTAAACAAGAAGGCATCAGGAGAAGAGAGATCCAGTGGTACATCTTTATCCCAAGTGCGGAAAGCAGGGAGAAATTAATTTCATTGCTTGCAAGACAGTGGGAGATCCTGTGTGGTAGGGAACTGCCATTGGAACTCACTGGGTAATTACTGCACAGCTAAGTGATTTCAGTGTCTATGACAAGGTAAAGCACAGTGTTTAAATAGGTAGCACCTGTCAAGTTCTGTTTTTTAATAAGGAGCTGACCTGGACTCCCTTGCTCCCTAGTGCAGTGAACATTTAATAGTACTTAGAAATATTCTGAAGTGTTAACTGGGGACTGAACTTCCTGTAAAGTCTATTTTTTATGCAATAGTATATAGTGAAAAAAATCATGAGACATCCTGGGAAACTGTATGGAAAAATTAAGGAGTCAACACTAGATATGCTGTCGCCTAGGACTGTTAAGGTTTCTGCTGTTTTTCTGTATATATCAGTCTTGCTGTTCTTTACAAATTCTAACGTGTAAATAAGGGTAAATGCTTGTGTACGTTCAAGTGCAATGTTCTTTGTATGAGAAGTATTTTGGGTATGCTGCTAATGCTTACTATTTAATGATCTTAGGTTTACTATGGTTTTTCTTTGAGGCCAAATGTAATTATTTGCTGCCAATTGTGAACTTAGCAGGAAAATTTAAGCCACAAACAGGTGACAAATTTTCATATGAAATTAGTTTCATGGGCATTCTTTTTCCTTACCTTAGGATAAAGAATTGCCTGCTAAAGATCCACTCAGTATTGTCTTGAAAGTGGAAATACCCAACCAAAGGTATATGAGCATTTTGTCAGCAAATAATGAATTTGTATCTCTGAACACAAAGTCTTTCTTTTTGCCTATTTTGTCAATACAAATAAAGTGTAATTTGACAGTTTTCTTTTGGCCTTGTCTTTATTCGTTTGCAGGATACCATATGGCAGTTATGGCAGCACATATTATGTTCCTAGTGTGTGTTGTAAAGTATGGAATATGCAGCAAGATGAAAGAAGAAAATAGTTTATTCTACTATAGCAAGCTTGTACGGGTCCAGAAATAGAGCTGTCATGGAAACTGAGGATCTGCAGCTTCTAAATGCAGTTTAAGGAGGATTAATTTCAAGTCCTTTTACTTCTCCATCAGATACTAGCTTGCTTTCTAAGCTGTCATCTTTAACTTGAATACTACCATGCCCAACAAGTTTTAGCCTTGCTCATGACAGTAAAATCCCTACTCACTATTGTGAAGACAAATACTGAGACTTTGGAAAAGACTGTTCTGTATCCACTGGAATTAAGAAGGGAAGGACTGTTTTTATACATATGCGCCAGCTGATGCTGCTTAAAACTGATGCCCCTTAAACACATAGGAAAATTTAGTTTGGAAGAAACCTCTGGATGTCCATTAGTCAAGCTCAAAACAGGGCAAACTTCAAATAGAATGCTCAGGGCCTGGTCCAAACAAGTTCTGATTTTTTTTTTCTCCAAGAATGGCAAGTCCACAGTGGCACTGGGAATTTGGTGGTTCCGTGGAGTATTTTTCCACGCTGATGGGGAGCTTGGCTGTGCTCTTTGCACTCCAGATGCCTGCAGTGTTGCAGTCAGTGCGAGGATGACACACAGGCAGGCAGCAAAAGTCAAATGGTATTGCAGGATGCAGTGGAGTTCCCGAAGTAACCAGAGGTGAGGAGCATTACTTGAGTGCTGCTCTGTTGACAGTTTAGCAGAGGAAATGTAGCCCCCTCTCAAGCTTAGACCAAACTGAACAATTAAGGTAGGTACTGTAGACTCTTGGGGAAAACTGAATTTTTTCCTGTACTCCGGATGCCTTCTATTCCCTGAAATCTCAAGGATACTTATGTTCATTTAAGCTTAATTGTCATTAGGTAAAAATTCTAAAATAAAAATCCTAGGGATAATATAATTTAACAGCTTAGGTCTTCATTAGTTCTTTCTGAAGTAACTTTTAATTGCTAATTTTTAATTGTTATAGGTAACACTTAAGAGTAGCCTGTGGCAACTCAAATAGTCTGATTTGCAAATGTCTGAGAATTTACCAGATGAACAGGATGTTTACAATATGGTTTATGGTTTAAGTGGAGGGAATATGTAATGAGTCCTTTGGAGCTGCCTAGGATTTCAGCCAACATGACTAGATATCTCTGCCTTTCATACTAGGGGTTATACTTGTCATTGTTTCTCTAAGTCAACCTTGTTCCCATCTTATTTGTAAGGCCTGTCCTGGGGGATGCCTTCTGCATGAGATAGACCTGAGTTTTGTTTTCTTTGTCAAACACAACTGTTCAAATGTATTTTAATACACTAGTGTGTTTCATAGAATCATCTATTAGAATAAGCAAGGATAATCCCCTGCTTGTTACATTGTTTGAGCAATTGAGGTCTCTTTGGATTTTAGTGCAGCAAGAACACAGATGTGATTAAACTTGACATTCTCAAGTCCACAGCTGTTTAAAACATTAAAACTCTCCCTTTGGATTAGATTATTAATTCAGGAAATGGGTACAATTCCCCCTTGGTATCTTGATAAACACCAATCACATTTTAAGATGAACAAAATGTTCAATAATTCATTAGATACTTAATGGAAGAATCAAGAAATACTGCAGTATGTACCTCATTTATGGTGCTATCTGAATTGCTTATTTTCAGGGCATTTTTAAAATAAATAATCTTTCATACTCTGTCAGCTAAAGCATGGGCTATGCAAAGTAAAGTGTCTTCCCTGACATTTTAGCTCTTTCATTTTTACCTGGGAAAACTCACAACCCAACCAGCTCTCTTCTGCCACCACATATCTGAGCCCCTGCTCTTCTGCATGTGTTAAAACCTGCTGGAGTTAGTGCTTTGTGTACAAATTTCTGTTCATTTAAGTGTAATATTAAGCTGAAAAATTTTATTTACTGCCATTCCTCAGCACCAGCCTGTTTTTGTTTAATTCTAATGTAATCTTTTGGTTCTAAATGTAGGGATTTATTTAAATGAATTTTCCTTGAAACTGCACAATCCTTCATCTTGAACTTTGTGAATTGACTGATTGTTTCATTTCATAAAGATTTTTCTGATCTTTCCCCAATTTCTACAGAAAGTTGTGTGAAATGAAGTATCTTTAAGTGATTGTGGTCACATAAAGCAGTCTTGATTTCTTCTTCTCTTTTTGCAAGAGTGCTATGAAGCCCTGCATGCGTGTTTCTTATTAATCCTTTATACTCAAATCTTTCACGGTTTCCAACCCTTGTTCTACATTAAGGCAATATCCAAGTAGCTAAACTTAAGACTAGGTGCATGTGTAGGCAAGTGGGGAGAACTTCTTCAGGAAAGTATCTCCTAAACCGTCTTAGACTTCTATAGTCTGGCTTTGCAGCTGATGCAGATGTGTGGAAGGCCCATGAAATTATGTTCAGTGACATCTGTTGAGGATCTGTCCAAAGGTTTTAAAACTTCCCTTGTATTACAATTGAAAAATTATAAATGAATCTCATTAGGAAGGAAAGTAAATGAGGTGCTGACTTGAGCTAAACCATGTTTTCTTTGCAAGAAGAAATGACAACGTGACCTGCATCCTGTCTGTCCCGTGTCATTCCCATGCTGCTTTTACAGCACTGATCTGCCTGGCTGTAGACATACTGAACAGCGATGTAGTTACATCAGCCCCTTTGACTTGTCTTCCTGTTCTTGTCAGCTTAGATAAGGAGTTTCTTTTTTAAAAATAAGTAAATTGAAGTGACACAGAATGCTGCTGCTTCTTTCTTGAATGTGTCTGATCAAAAAGTTTACTTTGCCTGGTATTAAATCTTCAAACATACCAAATCTTAGGTGGAGAAGCAGCAGCATGAGGAAAAGCATGAAGTTGTGGTTCAGAGCAGACAGACTACAACTTCCTGTTTCCTGCTGCCTACCTGATAAGGAAGGGCATTTAGTAATTTGGAAAGCTAAAAATTAATGTGGAAAAAGGGGGGATATGAAATTCGTTACACCAACAAGGTGCTAAAGAAAGACTATGGTCAACACTGGAAAAAAACCACTTGAACAGATACATGAAGAGTAATGGCCAGAGGTGGGAAGCTGAGCACTGAGCTGTTGTGCTTCAGACCTTAAGGTCTCTGAGAAGGGAGGATGAGAACTTGCAGCATCTCTAAAGTTGTTGAAAATGCTGAGACAGGGGCATCCTGACTCTCATCTCCATCATGCTGTTCTCAGGCAGGCACTTCAGTGCAATCCTTGGCAAACTGTTGGCTCTAGCTTTAGTCGAGCACATTATAGGCCTTTCCTATCCCTTATAGATAACTACAGGAGGGATAACCAGCATCACCGTGGGAGAACACACTGCCTCTTCAGTCATGCTGATGTGAGAAGGTGCAGAGTTTGAGTAGTTCAGCCTGTTTGTTCAGACATCTGATTCATATGGAATATCTGTGGGGAATTTAGTGCCTGACCCTCTCAGTACAGTCCCAGAGCACTGCTTAATAGATGGGGAAGGTACAAAAGTGAAACCAAGAGATGGGACTATGTAGCTGGCTTTCACTGCAGGAGCATATGTAAAGGAACTGGGAGTCAACAACAATAAATAGGCCAGGACTTACAGCATTTATGTACTGACATTTGTACTGCTGCCTTTCTAAGTTTTGAACTAACAGGATGTGAGCAGCTGCGATAATTTCCTCCTGAATCGCACAACAACATTGTGCTCAGGCAACTCTACCTGTCTGCTTGGAATTGGACCATTGCATGTGTGAGAGAGAGAGATAAACAGACTCCTATTTGCTCTGTGACCCGTCTGTTGTTCTGGGGGTTGTTTTTTGCTGTTATCAGCAAACTTTAAAATTCCTGTTCCAACTTGCCAACAGAAAAAAACCCAAAAAGTAGGATTGTGTCCTAGCCTCTGCACCAAGAGCCTCGGCTGTGTTCAGTAAATATGGTACAGCTGGCCCTCTTCCTACACACAAGAACTTCTGGCCTGATCTGCTTAATCCTTTGCTAGTACCTCTTCAGGCTCACAGCCTTCTCGCACACTTATAATGCAGAGCAAAGAGACTTCTATGTTCTTTCCCAGAAAAGTGGAATGAGAATCTGTTTCTCTCTTTGGATGTAACTAAATGGTCAGCTCCCACCAAGCTGTGGCAAGGTAGACTGGATGGTAAGTCATTTGTCTTGGCTCAGTAATTTCTGTAAAGATTGCTTAAACAAAAGATTTCAATAGCAGGAAATTGCCCAAGCGAGCCAGGGCTGCACGCACTTCAC